ACAAAAAACTTCATATTCAAGTTACTGCTATTCAAAGATTGTTTCTATATAGTTAAGATTTAATTTACAAGAAATTTAAAAGTCTTGACTGATATATAATGTCCACTATATTTTTGTAGCTAAAAATAATTATGATTATTACTTTCAAATCGTTTTTTTGTTGATGAATAATAATTTGAATTTTGTGTGTTTTAATTGATGCACGATTAGAGATAAGAAATGATCTATTGGGAATTCGTAAGGATATAATAGTTTAAATCCTTTTTAGTAATATTTACTAATGTGAACTGCAGTTTGAGTGAGGGTGAGTGTTGGAACATACCTAAGTGACAACATGGAATAACAACTGAGTTCATGACTTAACTGATCAAAATGACTTTAAAATCATTAGAAGTTAGTTGTTTTTCTCTTAAATTCTGCTCATGTTCACTGCGACTGTCGAGTGTTTGTTAGACCAATCAAATACAGAAATGATTTTCCATGGTCTACATGTTATCGGTACTCATAAACACGAAGATCTTCAATGTTTAAAATCGAAATTGCAACACAATCTGGTTTATGATTAATACGTATGACATTTTTGACATTCAAAAAATCCTTGTAATGACAATCAACGAGTATGAAAAATAGTCAGACATTGTTGTTTTTCTGATTCTAATGCGTTCATTTACTGTAAGTATGTGTCATCCTCTCAGTATTGTGTGCAAAGCTTTGCATAGACTTTTGCTAGTAAAATAATCCTATGATTTCAAGATGGATACCTAATGTGCGTTGAAAATAGAATTAATTACTACTGCATAGTAAGATTTATCAAAATCTTTTAATATCGAACTTAGGAATTTTGCAAAAACCCTTATGCTTTTTTTTTGTCATAGAATATTAAAACGCCAGCAATTCAAACGTAGGGTACAACATTTTCTTTTGAGATTCTTACATGAATCGATAGAATTAGTCAAGTTCTACAAAACTTTCTATATTAAAAATTTTTAAGGCCATTTTTCTGAGAAAAAAAAGTTTTAAAAATTACTTACAAGATTCTAAAAAAATGTTTGAAAAATTTTTTCTACATATAGTTTTGTAGAACTCGAAGAGATTTATAGAGTTATGTTAAAATCTCAAAAGAAATTATTTTACCTGTCTTTGAAATGCTGGCGCCTTTACTTTCTGTCACAACAAAGGCATAGAATTTCTGAAAATTTTGTAGGTTCGACATGAAAAGATTTTGATAAGTCTTACTATTTAGTACTAATAAATCCTGTTTTCTATGCGCTTTAATTCGATATAAAATTCATGAGGTATTCAAATTGAAATCATAACACTAATACCCTAGCAAAAGTTTATACACAATCCTGTATATTCAAAGAAACTCTGTGACATATTATGAAACAAATCGAGCGATAGACTAGCTTAGTCTATGCATTGTTCAACTAAACAATTAAGAAGATAAACTATGGCAATTCTTAATCTTTGATATCGTTTAAGCCAAAAAAAATGTCATTTAAATAATTTAAGTTACATAGTCAGGTGTGACCCCTGGTGAAGTGCGATATTCCAAAATCCTTCCTGAGTGTTCCATGGTTAATTGGCTGAAATCAGGAATCTCAGAAAAATTCTTGTATCTCTTGAACCAAAAAAAAATAGAAAAGTGAGCCATGAGTAGATTGAAAGAAAACAACTCTTCTATCAGAAATATAAATTAAAAATTGAGTCAAGTCGCAAAATAAGTCTAAAGTATAGTGCTCAACATGTTCCTCAGCAATGCATCCGATCGATTCATAGTTAACCATTGAGATTTTAGCAAATTTTGATACTTCTTGATCATCTCTTTCTTATGGTGAGAATCACAATTCACTATCTTGCTCCTATCAAAAGTTATTCGAAAAATACTCACCTGTCGTTTTTTGAAATGGACAGTAATTATGTTCTATGTGTATTTTAGTAAAATCATTGTTTATGTACCATTCTTGAAGCATATATTGATATGTCAACATATGATGAGATCCTTGATGAATATGAACTAACATCCTCTTTCAAATATTCTGAGTTATTGATGACTTTGAATGATTTTCGCGATCTAAATGATCTAACTGACTTGAAAGTCATAAAAGTCAACTATTTTCTCTTGACGAATACGCATATATTGTAGGCAAACTTAGAATTTGAGTACAGATAAATTCATACAATAAAAAGAATTAAAATTCTTATAGAATCATTTTTTATCCAAGAACATCTAAATCAAGAAATGTACTGTTAGAGAACATTTCAAAATTCCTATCGTTCGGCCGCTATGCCGCCCTTTCATGGCATAACTGATTCATTCTAATTACATTTTGATACACCACATGTCTTTTTTTATGTATGTATATGGATATACGAACTACATTTTCTGCTTCTATTCAATATTCTTCAGCCACAAACTATTTTTTTTCTTCAAAATCAATGCATTTTTTAATTCTCAATAAGACTTTTCTTCTACTTTATTATGTTAAAAACATAATAATGATATTTCTCTCGTTTTTTCTTAAGATTTTTTAAAAATTATCTATTTGTGACTGAACATAATAAAAATTTTTTTACAAAATACTCGAAAATTCTTTAATGTGGTTCTCTTTTCAATTTTTTGAAAAATGAATTATACTAAATGCAAATAAGAGCCAAATGATACGAAGAATATTTTACAACATTTAAAAAACTAATCATCATGTATCAGCAGAAATTTATAATAAAATATCAAAAGCTTTTTGTAACTAATCCTTCAAAAGTAGAACTGAAACTTTATCAGACGGTCTACTTGGTTGTTAAGATCATTGAAGAAATTGTACTCTTTTAATCCTTCTATACATCATTTGTTTTAATTAAGGGAGAAGAACATCAAAGATATGTAAAGATCAACAGACACGAGATAAAGAAAACATGATAAATGAGAGAAAAGGCTGTTCTTCATAGCAAACAAACTAGTATATGCTACCATTTTCGTATTCAATTGTAGATTTCTCATTATCATTAATAACCTCTGGACTGCTTCACACAATATTTTTCTCTCGCATATTATTAAAGTTTAATAGATAGTTCCAAAACATGTATGGATGATTTTTGTAAAATGCAGATTTGTAATAAGTTTTTCTATTCGAAAGATATTTCTTTTCAAACGTAGATAATCTAATTCATTTCATTGTTTGGATTATTATGTTCCACTTCTATGTGATGAGAATTAATTAATAGTACATATTTGTATATTTCGTGTTACATCTGTATTGCCTAATTGGCGTAACTTATGTATTATGATTCATGCATCATCAAGTTTGTTCTATTAAAGAAAATAGTCAGCCACATTTGCTGCACGAGGATAGATGTTACTTTATTTTACTATTTGTTATGAACCTGTTTAATTACGTATTCAATTTGTAATAAACTATTTCGTTGTAATTTAATTTATCTATGATACGCTTTATCGAATTTTTGAGTATTTTATAAAAAAATTTTCTATTTTGTTGAGTCACAAATAGCTGATTTTTCAAAAATTCTTAAGAAAAAACAAGACAAGTATCATTATTATGTTTTTAACATAATAAAGTAGAAGAAAAGTCTTATTGAGAATTAAAAACTGCAATGATTTTGAAGACAAAAAAAAGTTTATGGCTGAAGAATATTGAATAGAAGTAGAAAATGTAGCTCGTACATTCGTATGCATACATCAAAAACGACATGTGGCGTACCAAAATGTAATTAGAATGAATCATTTATGCCACGACAGTCCGGCAAAGCAGTCGAACGGCCGGTCGAATGGGACGAATTTTAAAATGTTCCCTTACCGTTAGTTATGGTAAAGGTCATTGACCATTATGCTCATTTTTCTTGTATTATATCTTCTATATATTGTGACCTATTCATCTAGTACTGACCTTCTCTCTCTATCCACTGTATACATGTTTTCTATATGTGACCGCTTTGCCTCTGTCTTTGTCTATGTAATACGCATGTAAGAAGAGAGAAGATACAATTTGGAATGATGGTCTAGTTCAATAAACGTCGTGTCGCTTGACACAGACAGATATTCATTTCCATTTTTCGTTACGGTTATGTTATCATCTAAATAGTAGAGCACAAGTTATTAGTTCTTGAGTATCTGGTAAACAGTGTCTTTCGTGTTACTAACAATCAAGTCAGGATAATGTCACGTTCCTAGTAACTATAATCAATAACCTCAAATTTTTGACTTAAATAAGGAAAAAATATTTTTGAAAAATGTCGATATTTCCTAAGACCTTGATCAAAGGTTTCTACAGTCGAGAAATCGAAATCTATAAATGGTTTCTCAATACTTGTGAGATTGACGTCTTTGTTAGAAGAAGAATATTTTTCCAAAAATAGTGAACTTTTTCTACTCCTAGTAAATAAGAAAACTAGAATTCGAAAATTTCTAGAAGTCACTTATAGATTTGGTTCTTCAATTCTGAAAGCCTTCAACTAAAACTTTGGAAAATATCGTTTTTTTTTTCAGACTAGAACGTTTGTGTTATGCGTGCAGTTATTAGATAACGGGTCGTTACTTTATTCATGAATAAAAAATAGTTCTAATAAGATTTTATTTGTTTTGATTGCATGAATTTATCTCTATTCGGATTCTAATTTTATCTAGGTAAAACTGACATTTCAATTTTATTCGCGACATACAAATAGTTTGATATATACTTTATTTTTCTTATTTTAGTTCATCTATACAATGGATATGTATAATGATTTATCAAGACTGCATAAAGGTGAGCGAGTCTTAAAATAGTAGATCGAACACATATTAGTTTAGAAAATTTCAAATCCAAATATCCGTAAGGTTATTATTTGTATCAAGAAATATGTAGAACAATGTATTGTTTGTTGTCGTTTTGATAAGAAATTAGAAAATGATTAATCACTACCGATCATTAAATTTTTTATTTATACGGTGCAATAAATTTCAAGTGTTGTTACCGTTCTTTTTTTTTGTTAATCATGAATTCCGAATGATATTATTGTCCTTTGAAATTTTTTGTTTTACTTATGGTATTCAGGAGTTAAACAATGGTTCACCATTACCAGATGTAATACGAACATATATAGTTCAACTAACACACAATGGCGTGCTTCCATCTGATATAAGTCGTTGTTTACACGTATCAAATCGCTGTGTATCAGAAATTTTAGCACGCTCTATTGAAGGTTTAAAATCTCGTGTAGTTGAAACTGATGTCATAGAAACAATAGCTCAATATAAACATGAAACACCATCTATATTTGCCTGGAAAATTCGTAACCGTCTTTTAGAAGAAAATATTTGTAATTCAGAAAACATGCCAAGCGTATGTACTATAAGGAATTTGGAGAAAACGTCTAAGTTCATGTATTTTTTTACAGTTATCATCAATAAATCAAGTCTTAACATATCTTGAGTCTAAATCAATAGATACAGAAACAACATCAAATACTAATTCAACACCTGAAGATCCGAATTCAGAATATGAGCAACAAATCAATAATAAAAATCATCAAGATTTAGGAGATGACAAATATTATATATAAATAATATTATATTATTAACTGATTATGAATAAAATAATTCCGCTTAATCTTTTCCCAGATTAAAAGGTCAATCACCCTCTAATATAGGGTAGGGTTTAGGAGGGCTGTTTACAAATATTGTAATTAGTTAACGAAAGGAGCAGTGTTCAGATCATTCGAATAAGAAAAACCTTCGATATGCTTGTTATTTCGAAATTTCCAAAGTTTCTGTATGTCCGAAAATACTTTTCTTTAATTAGTGTACTTTGGGAAAATTACAGAAATATTCGTATTTTCCATGTAGAGCATCTTAACATACTTCGATATGAAGTAGAAAATCTGGGCAATTGATCACATGATCAGAGTTTTGAGTTTTTAAATGTAAATTAAGATAGCAATGGTTTCCTCCAAAATTTATTTCATTATTATACAAAAATATGAAATGACTAAAACAGTGATCAGATGATCCTGGAATAGCCTGTAGAGGAAAGATTGAGCTTCACTGCTGAATTAACTATTCCATATACTATAGATTAAATATCATTACAGTAATAATAAAATGATTTTTGACTGATTAGAAAGAAAAAAAAAGACAGACTTATTTTACAGACATTCTAATTCATATTTTTCCACATGATTGATGCCATTATGTTTTTTTTTCATTCAGTTATAATGGAATTTACACAAGAACAAATTAATTCTTTAGAACAAGGTATTTTATTTTATTTATTTATTTTTTATACATTAAATAAAACATCTTATTTAGCTTTTAATTGTACACATTATCCAGATATAAATATGCGTGAAAAACTTGCACAAAAAATACATTTATCTGAAGCACGAATTCAAGTATAAATATTTTTTTGTTAAGAAGAAATTAATCTTTTTTTCTGTTTCAAAATCAGATATGGTTTTCTAATCGTAGAGCAAAATATCGTCGAGATAATAAAGCAAGAGGCGGTCAACCACATCGATCAAAGCTGTGACTTTTAACAGAAAAATTCTGCTCTTTAAATATTTTTCTGCTTTGTTCAGCGTTTTTTGTATTTTTTTTTCCTAAATACTGTTAATAGTTACTACTCTAGTAATATATCAAAGTTGAATACATGAGAAATTTCCTCTTGAAAAAAAATTCTGATGTTTCTGCGACATTATTATTGAGACTTGATCAAGTTGGTTTCATTTGTAGACGTACGTACAACAGAGTAGGCTAATTCACGCTGCATCTTTTATTTTCGTGGTCGATCTGCGCGGCTGTATGAATGGCTAGAAAAAATCAAATTAAACAGTTCTCATTAAAAATCTAGTAACCTCGCTGGAAATTCTTTTAAAAGAAAAAAAAATCTCATTTTTGTTAGGCATTATTTAGTCTTGACACATCGTTAATAGTCCCTGATATTAGTTTCCTATTCTAAATGATGATGATTCGACAATAAACAGAATGATCAGATGCAAACAATTAGTAATGCTTCTATTTTCTTTCATTCATTCATCATATTTTATGAAGTTGATTTTCTTTTTATCAGAGACTGAAACAAGTCAAAAAAAACCATGATTAGACTCGGTTTCGATCAAAAGTCAATTTGTCGAGATCTATCGATAGTACGGATATGTCTAATAACGATCGGTATAGAACAAGAAAAATACACTCATACCCACCCCAAACTATACAACAAAACAAATACTGATTTTTAAAACTTTAAACCAGCATATCAAGTGTCTCTATAATTTTGTATGACCATCTTATTTGTCTACAAATAGTTCGAACAAAGTTGAAATTATAGTTAATGGAATAAACTGATTGAATCTATCCATCGAAACCAGAAGATAGCAAAACTCGGATCGATATAGAAAATCTCAATCGAAAAACTGTTATATCTCGTATACTTGATTCTATTGTACAAGTGTATTTGATTTACAACAAGGAGAAGATCATATTTTCGTTGGTTCCATTATATTGATTATTTTCTGGATTCTACAACTGTCCTATTGTTGGTCTGACAGATGTTTAGAGAAACTGATATTGATTGTTTAAATACGTTTTAGATAGGCAAAACAAAAGAGGTTATTAAGAAAAAGCAACAGCAACATATAAAATAATATTTATCCTTGGGTGGGTGTGGGTGTGTGGTTGTGGATGTTGCTCTTTTCTGAGCCCACATCCACACCCACATCACCCACACCCACACCCACACGCGCATATAGAGAAAATCAAAAATTGATTTTTTATATAGAGTTTAACTTTTTGTTTTTACAATCACATAAAAAATAGATGCAAACATTGATCAAATTTCGGACTGAAAAAATAGTTGGACAATAATACTCAATGGAGATCAAACAAAATTCATAAAAAAAATGTGCTAGCAGCAATGCAATAGAAAAAAAATTATATACAAGCATCAAACGAAAAAATTAACAAAAAAGAAACAATAGAAATGCTCGTTTGTATTGGTCGGTAATAATGAGATGATTGCACTATTTTCAAGTTTAAACATAAGCAAAATAATTTATGGAAAACAATACGTATAATCTAAGAAGAGAGGAACAAATAGAACATGATATTGATATATGTAAAGCAACGTTTTGAATTCCTGTGTAATACATGTAAAAAATGGACTAAGTTAAATGTGTATTTGTTTTTGATAACTAACCTATCTATTTATTACTTTCTTAGACCGAGATACAATCCAAGACCCAAAATAAATAACAAAATGATCACAATTGTGATTAGAATAAGTTTTTTCCGTCTAGCAGACGTCTAGAATTAAAAAAATAGATATAATTTTCATGAATAAATATGACTAACCTGAGAAGTAACGGCTTGTGTTAGTTTTCCAGTAGCCGATTCTACATTCTCTTCAGCTTCATTTATATGTTGCCCAATAGAATCTAAATAATTAAAGTAATTTATTATTTAATTTATATACATTTTTAGTATTTTCTATTAAGCCAAAACCATCTGTCTTATTAAACATTGAACAAGTGGTGAATTGCCTTGTTCTAATTGTACAATAGAAGCTTTACCATAACTTTAAGTTATAATTAAAAAAAAATTATTTTTCTAAAACTCTACACCTGTTTTGTTTATCTTTGTAATTTAATCATCAAAATGATTGAAAAGCTCACCAATTATTCCATCATGTTCATGAACCATTCGACCGACATCTTTGAAGAGCTCATTAACTTCAACAATATTTTTCTAAGAAAAAAAAATTTTTCTTTTCTCAAGCTTTTTCGAATTAATTTTATACTTCAATTTGACAAAGCTGTTCATTACGTTCTGTTAAACCTTGTAGATCAACTTCTTGTTCGATAGGTAAAACATATTGTTGTTGAAGTTGAGTATTCGAAGGACCAGATATATCAGCAGTATGTGATTCATATATACTTTGTTGTCGATACCTAACAGCTCGAGCACGTTCAAGACTGTCTTTTTCTTTTGTAGCACCTGCACGTTGTGTTTCTTGGAAACGATTTAATATTGCTAAATATTGTTTTGGTAAAGTTTCAGCCAAAGTTTTTCTACGTTTCTAAAAAAAGTTTGTTCATAGAAATTTTTCTTTCGTTTTTATTTCACCTGATCGGCTTCGCTTGCTAGAGAAATGCTTTGAAGTTGTTGAAGAATATTATTTGTTTCTTTCATTAATAATTTGGTTTCATTTTGCAGACGAAGACTAATAAAGATTAAAACGACAATTTTTATTTAATCATAAATTTATTCAACTTACTAACGTTCGCGTAATGGTTCACTATCTTCTGGTGTACCTAATTTTTTCACAAGCGTTTCAAGCTCACTTGCTATAAAGAATTAAATAATAGATAAAAGAAAAAGATCAATGAATAATTTAACATACTATGACTATTAATCTTTGCTAGCTTAGTCGATATATTATTACATAAACGTTGAAAATCACTAGTTGTTGCCACTAAAACTTACAATAGAAATAAATTTTTATTCAAACCTTTTTCTCACTTTTTGATGACCAAGTATCGATACAATTGTCGATCTGAAATCAAATTTTCTATTAGAATACAATCCGGCATTAGCTATGTGAAATTATCACATGTTAATAGAGCGCTATTAAAATATTAGAAGCAATCAAAAAACAAGGATTAATCTAAGCGAATATGAAAATTCCAGATTAATTTACATATGAGCATTTTTTGTTGTTTCTCTCACTTGCAATAATTCATCATCTGATGGATCAGTCATGAATATTGAATTCAATTCTTTCACTTAGTTTATCTCAAAAATAAGAAAACCCTTATCAATTATTCATCAGAGTAGAATTCTGAATTATTCAATACTGACTAAGGCCGAAAACACACTAGAACAAATAAAACAGAATTAAGCAATGCTATTGGTTAATTACTATTTAAATAATCTTTCTGAGACGAATTAGTGGTTAATTCAGTTTTATTTGTTCTAGTGTGTTTTCGGCCTAAGAAAATTTTGAATTTATATTACTCTGTATTTACTTTTGGTCATGCAATCACCAACACTTTGAATAATGAGTCACTGCAAGCTGCGCAGCTATTATGAGCAGATGGCGCTGCAATTAGATGAAAATAAACTTCAAATTTAAAATAATTGAATTTTATTTAAAAAATTCTTTTTCTTTCTCAGTAATTATATATTTATAATACTTAAAATATCAACCAGTCAAAATGAATGTATTTATCCCAATCAGCAGTCTGTCAGTCAACTAACTAGGCTGTCAGTGAACTAGTCAGCCGTTTATGTGGTAAATACTTTATGAGCAAAAAGCGTCACTTCAAAATCCAAAATTCAAGAATTAAATGGATACTGGAGATTTAAAGTTACCTGCATATAAATATCAACTTGAGCAAATATTTCTTTACTTAAATGGCATTAATTTAAATTTATTTTTGCATTGATTTTATCAGGTAGAATTAGCACTCAAAGCAAAACCAGATGATCCTGAACTACTCAAACTTAAACAAGATCTTGAAGTAATATTTCTTTGTTCATTATCTTAAAGTAATTATTTCATTTAGGAAGTAATACAAAATAGCCGCTGAACTACTCGGTTGTGATCCATCCATCTTAAATTCGGATGAAACAGCAACAACATCAACAAATTATAATGAAACAGCATCTTCTAGTTATTCATCATCATCGTCACAGTTAAATAATACAACCGCATCATCATCAGCTTGTTCAGCTATTAAATGGAAGACTGGTGATCGATGTTCAGCACCATGGAATGAAGATGGAAAGTATGTAAAGTTATAACTTTTTACAACTTAAACTCTGTATGTTTATTTTACTTATCAGATATTATGAATGTACGATTGATGATGTACTTGATGGCGGAACATGTACGGTTGTTTTTGATGGATTTGAATCAGCATCATTAACGGTCGTTCGAGTAAGTATTTATATAGTTATTTAAAATGTACTTCAGTGTTATATGTATAAAGGCATCAAAATTAAAACCATTCGATCGAACACGTTCTGATTTAAGCGGAATAAGATCAGCTGCTAATCGAGCTAAAACAAAGGAAATTATCGCAATAAAATATTTTCTTGTTTGATTTTATCTTTTTGTTTTAATTTAATAGACGAGGGTGTGGGTGGGTGTGGGTGTGGGTGTGCCTGTGGCTGTGGTTTCTTCTTCTTCTTCAATCATTCACACTTCACCTCATGAGATTTTTTTAATTTGAGCTATTGAATATCTACTGAACTTTATAGTTATTTTACTAATGAGAAAAGTTCTAATAACAGAATATTTGATTTTTGAGTTTGACTTGACGTTTTGCCGTAGAGACAGATTTTAGCGAGAGTCATTTATGATCAAAATTTCAAGAACGAACATATGATCTCTTAATTTGTACGAATGATGTAAAATTCAAACTATTACTATACCTACATCTTCTAAGAGAAAACTAGCAACAAATTTTGAAATATTGGCAAATAACCTATTTCGAAACACGAAATTCAGAGTATGTATATTGCATAATTCTCATAGTCTAGAATGAAAATTGATGCATCAGTTCGAAACTTTCGCAAATATCTAAAGCACAGAAACTTTATCTTGAGGTACGTTTCATGGTCATATCAATATTTTGTTTATTAAATACATGGAAGAAATATTAACTTACTTCTAATAGAATATTATAAATCAATCAATATAAATTCATCATTGATTTGTTTTTTTTTATCGATAATAGATATGTTAAGACGAAAAAAAAAAAGAAATGTAAACATGATCATATATTTTATTTAAAGTGTTATACGTTAAATTAGAATCCAAACAATCAGACACTAATTAAACAAGAGAAGGCAAATAAGAATAACAATATTTATAGAAATGTATGTTTATATTTTACTCGTGTAAATCTAGTGTCCCTGTGTTTTATTTTGAATTTTACTTCCAATTGTTGTATGTATTACAGGCATATAGTTTTGCTGTTCTCTTATCATAGTCCATAATATATACTTGTATATGATATATTCTATTAAGCTATGTATATAAAAACAACACGAAAAAAATATAATGAGAAACAAATCATGTTGTTTTGGAAATTTTTTTCGCATAAAAATAAAATATATTTGCTATTAGTGAAAATCTGTTTGAATCATATTTGTAGGATATGAAGTTATGATTATGAAAAACAAATAGACTCAAACAAACTTGCACACATGTACACGTGGCATTATTTTGATACTCATTCTTCCTACCTATGTTGGAAAAAACCTTGGCAACAATGCAAACAATATTGATTCATTTTATTATATGTTTATTTTTCTTCTTTCCTGATTTTTTGAGATGATGATGCAAACTTCAAAAGAAAACATAATGACTTGCGTATAACAAGCAAACCAACAACTAAATGAACTTCTGTTGTATTTTCGGAAAAAGATATTTTAGCCATGGAAGACAATTGTTTTAAACATTTTTACTCTAACTACAAAAATGAATTTACTCTCTTTCTATCACACGGTATTACACAATAAAATGAAATTGCCAACACGAAAAGAAAAACTTACAGAAGAAAAGAATAGTTTCGTTCTGTTTTCTTTTTTGTTTGTTTTTTATAAAATACTTATTTTATTGATTTAGGATGCCTTGCATAAAGAAACTTAGATGAAATAAGAGAATTTTCTAATGAAATCAGATAGGAGTAAACAAAAAGAGAAACAATTAAAACAAAAGAATATAGCGACTTATTTTGAAGTTCTGTTTGTAACTTTTCATTTTTTCTTTTCTACGAATCATGCTCAATTGATCGATAATACAATTATTCAGTTATTGGTGACACATGTTTCGTCACTGTTGTTGTGTCACTAAAAAAAAAAACTCTTGAAATAAAAAGAAAACGAACGAAAAATTGAGCTAAGAATTCCTTCAAGTCTTCTATAGCAACGAAAATAACAAACCAAAAATTAAAGTGTCAACACGAAAAAAGAAAGAAAAATCATTTACGAAAAATACAACTCTTTTATTATCATCAAAATCATCCAAATGGACAAAAAGCAACATTCAAAGTCAACTGCTAGTGGGTTATCTTCTCCTTCCACAATAAATAAACCAAAAAAATCATCAGCAGCAACAGCGGAAGCATCACTACCGACAACAACAACAAGCAGAAATGCAGTACTTCCTCAGACTGCTCGCCGGATTATACAAAATTTTCTATTGATCTGGTTAGATGCAAATATTGATGAAACGCAAGAAGACTTTAAAAAATCATTGAAGCATTTGCGACATGTTGTAGCATCCATTACAACATTTACGAATGCAGAACAATGTTTAAAATTTCTTGGTGAAATTAGAAAAGAAAAAATATTTATGATTGTATCTGGTGCATTAGGACGACAAGTAGCACCAGAATTGCAAGCAATGTCACAGCTGGAATCAATATATGTTTTCTGTGGAAATAAATCATATCATGAAGAATGGGCCAAAACTATACCGAAGGTGAAAGGCGTTTACACTGCCATTAAACCAATATGTCAAGCACTTGAAATTGATCGA